TTTAGTTGTTTTTTTTCCTTATTTTACTTTTTGCTTTAAACTTTTTTTAATCGAATATAGCTGCGCACTGAAAGTTATGTAGGAATGTAACAGTAGGGGGCAAAAGAACGATTATCCTGTGAATAATTCGTTATAATTAATCTTGCTATTAATTTTTCAATATTTTTTAAATCAAAAATCTTTAATTTTCAATATCAATTTTTTCTTACATCGAGGTAATCCCTTCTATATTTATTTGTAAGAATATGATTAAATTTTCTTTGATCGTTATTAATTAAAAAACTTTCTACTAAAGTTTATTCTTCAAAAATAAAAGCATCAAATATCTTTACCTCTATATGGTCTATACTTCTCTTTGTCTGACAAACACCATGCAACATGTATACAGCATGATATGTAACGGTGGCATTTCCCGAGAACCGCGTGTAGAGCAATTTTTTCTGACGTGAACCCCGTTGGAATTAATTTTTTAGGGCAAATAGCTTTTAAATGGGAGCTGGTTGAAAATACATTCCAAACTACCCCTAAATGGGGTTGGAAAGCTATAGTGCGCCCGCATGAACTAGCAACGTTACCACATTGTTATTGGAGCTTAGTTGATAAGCAGTGAGAACTATATCCATGTGCGCACGCAAAAGCGTAAGCTACAGCTGGTAACTTGAAGGTTAGATGTAAAAATTTTTACCTTAAGGTGAATATTGTCTGCTCCTTATGTTGTCAGTTGCTTATCCACGCGCTTACTGTCTTTCTCACTCTCGTGTTGGACAAAAACATCTTTAAATTTTTATACTTAAGTAATGTTACCTCGAATAAAAGTAAAATACCATATCAGTAGGGATTTTTCCACTCTACACAATAGTATTTTTGCAAAAATAGTCGACCTCACGGTCAAAAATATTGTTGTTAAGTACGTCTTGCTTACGTTCCTGGGTATGTCGTCTGTACACGATTTAGAACGAGTCCATTCATAAATTGCAATAATCAAGTACCCGGGAAGTGCCTGGGAAGTACCCAAGTAAGTGCCCGGGAAGTACCAGCCAAGTGCCCGGGAAATACCCGGGGAAGTACCCGGGAAGTGCCTGGGAAGTATCCACCAAGTACCCGAGGAAGTGCCCGGCAAGTGCTCACCAAGTCCCCGGAAATTACCCGCCAAGTGCCCGGGAAATACCCGAGGGAGTGCCCGGCAAGTACCCGACTGTATTGTACTTGGCGCGGACTTCCGGGGCACTTGGCGGGGCACTCGTTCTAAATCGTGTACAGACGACATACCCGGAAACGTAAGCAAGACGTACTTAAAAACAATATTTTTGACCGAGAGGTCGACTATTTTTGCAAAAATACTATCGTGTAGAGTGGAAAAATCCCTACTGATATGGTATTTTACTTTAATTCGAGATAACATGACTTAAGTATAGAAATATAAAGATGTTTTTGTCCAACGCGAGAGTGAGGAAGACAGTAAGCGCGTGAATAAACAACTGACAACATAAGGAGCAGACAATATTTACCTTAAGGTAAAAATTTTTACATCCAACCTTCAAGTTACCAGCAGTAGCTGACTCTCTTGCGTGCGCACATGGATATAGTTCTCACTGCTTACCGACTAAGCTCCAATAACAATGTGGCAACGTCGCGAGTTCAT